CAAATAATTCTGTGTTCAAATGGAAATGGAAATATTTCATCTTGAATTATCTTTACAAGATGATTCCAGCTTTTACATATGAAAATAACAGTTGAGATTTTTATCTGTGAATTTCTCAGGAGCTCCATTTTCAGACTATGTGGTCTATTTTAAACACACCATATGGATTATGTACTCTAAGAACTACTCAGGACTAAAAAAAAAAAAAAAAAAAAAAAAAGTGTGCAAACACAAACCACCCAGTTCTAAAGTCCCAGCTGGCACTTCTGTTACCCATAAGTGCTCTTTTCTGTTTATGTTTCTTACACCCACATGTATATATGTTTGCAGTTGGAAACCTTCACCCTTGTCTCTTAAAAATTCCTTGAGCAGTAAGGCAGCTGAAAATAGGACTTTGCTCCATTTCTACTGGTCGATATTCAGCCCAGCAATGTGTACAAAGTCAACACTGCAGGCAGAAGGCCGCCAGGAGAACTCATGGTCCAAAATCTTCTCCTCCCCCACTTCCATTCAAGTTTGCTTGTTTGGTGTCCCATTTCCTTGAGGCTCAACTCTCTGCTTTTGCAGATGCCAACCAATCTGAGGAAGCAACATTTCCCAAAGTTGTGTACCTTACCAGTTGTTAACAAGAGTCCCATGGAAAGAAGGGTCCCATGGGTAAACGATGCAGAGTCAAAACTTTCTCAAAGCCTTTTATGCCCAGAGCTTTCCATGTTGATGTTCGTTGTGAATATCTTGGATGGGTCATTGGAGTACAGATTTTTCTGTAATGTGTTTAAATATAAAAGTCTTCCTTTTTACCTCAGTGTCCTATAGGAAGAATATGCCCCAGAACTCATTGGGAACTGTGACAGCTTAAAGGAATTTCTCAAGGTTTAATATTATACCCCAGGGCATAAATCCCAACTAGGACATGCAGGCCTCCCAGATGGCTGCTGGGGGAGCTATTTTTAAATAAGTGGGGCTATTGACACATGTTAGGACCCTCCACACAAGTGGCTGCCTATTTCTGCCCTGATAATATACTCCCCTGTGACACAGTCACATTGTCACACATCTAGGAGTGACAGCAATGATTTCAAGGATGATGAGACATGCGAGGCAAAGCAGAACGTAGATAGAAATTTTAACTGTGTCATTTAGGGCTTACAAATTACAAATAGCAACAATCTATTTTGTCCTTTTGTCCCTCAATACATGATGATTAGCTTGAGAGTGGGGCCAGGTTGTTACTAGTTTTTGCCCTGGGTTCTAATACAGGGTCTGGCACATTTTTGTACTCAATGAATATTTTCAGAGTGACTTAGTGATTCAATGATCACCAAATTTGAGCATTCTGCTCAGTTTTCATATTTCTCCCTTACTCTCTGCAATTCCAGTCCTCATTTTCATAGACAATCGTGGGAATCTGTAGGTAGGGGACTCAGAGAGGTCATCTAGTCTTTTTTTGTTTTTACCCAGACTAAAAGCTATCTACATTAGGTGAATAATCAGCTCTCTTATATTTAAAAACTCCAGTAAAAGAGGCTTCAAGGCCTTAGTATTCTGTTCTAAAGCTGCATGACACTCATGACTAAGAAAATAATCTTCAATCACACCTATCTTGTGCAACTGTCAAAAGGCACTTGAAGGACAGTGGCCATTTCTATGAAAGTGCCAAATTCAACCATACTTTTCCCTAAACACTTTGGCAAAACTACCAAAGAACAAGATTTTTCTTGTTGCATTATTAAGTGAAGAACATGCTCTACAATCTTATTTCCACTGTTAACCTAAACATACAACATACATAAATAAATATTTCTTTATGCATATGTGTGTGTGTACTGATATCATCTATTTAATCATATAGGTTCAAGACTTCAGCCATTTTCATGACCTCCTTCTCCTATGGACATTGTTTACTTAACGAGCCACTGAATTTGATCCATACAGTTCCTGAAATACAGTCACATCTCATTGGATCCTCTGCAGATTTCTACCATTAGTTCTGGCCTTCCTTCTCTTTCACTTAGACTGTGAAGTAGGCTCTAAACTAGCAGAGAGTTATTTCTAAACTCTCCATCCAGTATTGCATGTGTATGGCCCTTTATAACTGCTAAGCCATCTTCCAATATATCATTTAATGTTGATGCTCATTCTGTAAATCAGGCACTATGGCCTCTGTGTGCAGAAGAGGTCACTGTGAATGGTAAACAATGAACTCAGTGTCCCACAGCTAATAATTTATTTGTCAACAAATCATGCTTCTTCCTGCCTCATTTTCCCTCCATGAACCTTAGATATTTAAAAAATATATATCTAAAAAGTAAATATTAAAAGACTGGTGAATGGAAAACTATTAAGTGCAAAAAGACAAAATTTGTCTTTATATATCATTAATAACATTATTAGCCATTAAAATTTTAAAATAAGCATCTACTGATTAAAATTAAATAAATTCTACTTAAAACCAGTTAATTTACACTAAGAAAAAATTAGATACATTTTTTGTGACTTCCTAAGAGCATATGAAAAACATTATATTACCTTGAAAGTGTTCTAATATTCTGTAACTGTTCGGATCTGGGGATCTTGGTGAGTAGAACTATTTGCTGGGTGCATATACTGTATTTGTCTTTGCTTTTCTACCAGTATAAGATGACTCTTTCCAGTATTTCTAACCTTCCTAACCTTGCCCAACCTCTAAGCCCTAGCTCATAGGCCATGTCTCCTCACTAAACCCCAAACCTTCTCTGCTACCCTAGGTTGTTGTTCATAATCCTCCTTGGGTATTTATCAGATTCTCGGTCTACTCTTAGATAATCACTCATTCATTCACTGATTCAATAAATAACTTTCCATTACTACCATGCCAAGCCTATTCTGGGCTCTGAAAATAGGAATGCAATCTTGTGCAAGCACCTGCTGTCTTGGTTATGCCACATGTATCAATGGCACTGCTCAGCTAGTCCAGAATATCTGACTTCAGACTCCAGTTTACAGAGTGCTGTTTACTCTTCCGCCTCTCTAGTGTAGCCTGAGACTGTAAATCCATCAGAAAGAAATCTTGCATTTCAGTCTCGCATTAAGTATCTAATAGCTGACTGCACTTCAAACAGAATGGTGCTTCTATTGAGAAAGAGGTATCCCTTACATGAGCCCAGCATTCCATTAACCAGTGAAAGAAAGTGTTTAAACATGCCATTTCTCCCTGAATTCTTCTCTTAATTAATTATGTAGCTCAGGGTGGTAATGGTAGTAGAGAAATCTGTCACAGCAAGAATTCTTGGCCACTAATGAACTAATTAAAATGTCTTATTTATATTTACATTTATATGGCAAAGTGAGTTCATTTTACAAAGTGTACTGAGTTCAGTAGTGATGAGAAGGATCCGTGGCATCCTAAAACAATTAGAAACAATTGTTTGAGTGGTTTGGTGCTAATTATAATTATAATCATCAGTTCATCATTTATATAATAAGCCCTTCTGTGGGCCTGTTTTCATAACAAGTATAAACTAATACACTAAGGAAAACAAAGAGAATCTAAGGGAACAAAGGGAAAACAACTTTCAGAACTTTCAGTAGACCTTGGAAATTACAGACTGTCATTACTTTATGTCTTAGCCAATTCTTTCAAAGCAGGGTTTATGACAGTTCTCAGGTAAGTACATAAATCCCAAATAAAAATAGGAAATTGAGGCCATGGAAGGAAGTAGAAAGAAAATGTACACTCTTACATTTGATGAAATTAAACAAGTTTAACTCTGGCCCTTCCTGTTGGCCAAGGCAAAAAGAGAATAATGACTAGTAACTGAGTACTCCTTATCAGAATGGACCACATATATATGTTTTTTCCTTGGCTGAATTCCTCATCTTTACCTGCCAGCTTATTAAACTTTTCTCCCATTCCAAGTGGAGTTTTGGGCTCCATTAAATGTTGCTAAGTTTCCCTTGTAAATGAAGACAATAGTGTGTTAATAGCTCATAACTGGGATGCCTACCTTCACACCTAGCCCCCTGTAATCCATTCTAAAGTTAGAGTAATCCCTCATGAATGTAAATCGAAGCATGTCTCTCACATGTCTGCCATCCTCCCAAGGCTCTCCATCACATTTAGCATAAGTCTAAACTCCTATACTCTGACCCCCATGGCCCATCAAGATCTTGTCGCTTTTTCAGCTCCAATCTCCATTCCCTCTCTCAATTCTGAAGCAGTGTGATCATCTCACTATTTCTGGAATACATCAAGCTCATTTCCTTTTCTGAGCCTTTGTTCTTGCTGTCCCCTTGCCTGGAAGCTCTTTTCTCTGATTTTCACATGATTGCTTCTTTGTTCACTCAGATTTCATGCCAATAATTTCTCAGTAAGAAATTTCTTCACCATCACAGAACCAGTCTGCACATCACTTTTTACTATAATACTGGGTCTTACTTTCTTCACCACACTTATCTGAAGTGACCGTGGTGCCTGTCTGTGCTTGCTTGTTTGTCTTTGTCATCACACTAGCACAGAAACCCACAAAAGAAGATACCTGTGTATCTCACTTCCCTCTCCATTCCAAGACACATGTTGTGATGGATGGATCAGTAAATAAAAGACAGTATACTATGAACTGATTTCATAGTAAGAAATGGAAATAAACCATAAATGTATCATAGTCAATTCCCTTCCTAAACTATCAGGTTGAGGTCCAAAACAGTGTATTCATCAAATGGAAGGATCAGAAATGTTTTCTGTGAAGAGTCAGAGAATTTTAGGCTTTGGGAAACATACAGTCTCTGTTTTAACTACTCGACCCTGTCATGATAGCACGAAAGCTACCATACATATTTAAACAAATGGGTGTGGCTGTGCTCCCATAAAACTTTATTTACAAAAATAAGCAGCTTTTGGGTTTGGCTCACAGACTGTAGTTTACCAACTACTGATATAATGTGTAGATCACAACTAGCATCGGGAAAACGATAGTTGCTTTGTTACAAGTAAAAACAACTGAACAGAAAAATTCAATGGTGTGCTTGATTCGGCAGCACGTATACTAAAATTGGAACGATACAAGGAAGATTATCATGTCCCTTGCACAAAGATGACACGCAAATTCATGAAGCATTCTATATTTTTAAGGGACTGTGCGATCCAGTTACCCACAAGACCAGCAGGGTACGGGGGCACGAGAGAGGCCTTTGTGACCCAGCTGCACACAAGGTAGGCTTAGAGGATGTGAAAATGAAGGTGGAGTGAATGGAAGCTACACAGACAATCTCCCAGGACCAAACGGGAATTACAACTAAAATAAAGACAAGTGCTCAGAGAAAAAGCAACAAAAAAGCAGCAGGACAGGACCATATAACCAGGGACACTGGTAGCATCTGTGGAGGCACTAGAGGGTGGCAGGCTGGGAGCCCATGGACAGCAGCAGTCATAGCTGTGAGCAGCGCCAGTGGGGAATAAAGACCAAGCTTGATCCACAGCTCAGAGAGCCAGGAGAGCACTAAAATAGCCACAGCCACTCACCTAGGAGCTACTACAGAGGGTGGGCAGACTCCGCTGAAACTCTGTGGGGACACCCGAGATTTGGAGGGCACTCAGAGTTTTTGCTGAGTTGCAGCCACAAAGGATGGTGGCCAGTGTGCTCCTTCCCAGAGCTGTGGGGAAAAGCAGCTGCCCCTCTCCCTCAGAGATTCAGCCTTTCTGAGGTGAGGCAAAGAAATGCAAATTGAGCCCTGGCCAGTTTGGCTCAGTGGTTGAGAGTTCGCCTGCGGACCAGAGAGTCCCCGGTTTGGTTCCCACTAGGGGCACGTACCCCCCGCCCCCCCCCCACAAAAAAAAAAAGATCAATGTGACTAGAAAAAAAAAGAAATGCAAATTGAGGCTCATTAACAGACAGCATTTATCCCACCCTCTGGAAATTCTCTTATGCAAAACACCAGGGATACACTCCAAGGCACTGAGTAACTGAGACTACTAGCCTCCAGGAAAAAGCTAGACGATAATGGAACCTTTCCTGCACTTGCAAATCTACCCAGGAAAGTAAGACTCAACAGTTTTGTTTAACGTGGGTCCACCCTGGCTCATGCAAGTCCAGTAGAGGGAGCCACAAACAGCAGAACATCAACACCCACAGGGAAAATTTGGCAGGCTCCAAAACCCACCGAGATAGCCAAAATGGTGAAACAAAGAAACAAATCCCAAATGAAAGAACAAAAGAACTCCATCAAAGATGAGATCAATGAAATGCAGCTAAGAAAATTATTAGAGGTAGAGTTCAGAGCCATGATCTTTAGGAAGCTCAACAGCATGAGTAAGGACATCAGCACCATGAGTAAAGAAATAGAAACATTGAAAACCAACCAAGTGGAAATGAAGAATGACATAGCAGAAATAAAGAACATATTGAAAAAACTAACCAGCAGAGTAGAGGAAGCTGAGGACCAGATCAGTGAATTAGAAGACAGGATAAAAAACATCAACCAACCAGAAAAGCAAAAGGAAAAAACAATTTAAAAACAGGAAGATAGCTTAAGAGAACTGTGGGACAACTGGAAATGTAATAACATTCGCATCATAGGAGTACTCGAAGAGGAAGAAAATGGGCAAGGGTGAGAGAATATATTTGAAGAAATGGTGACAAAACTTTTCTAACTTAGTGAAGCAAAAATGCATTCATGTACAAGAAGCACAGAGAACCTCAAGTAAGAAGAACCCAAACAGGCTCACACCAAGACACATAGAAATCAAAATGCCAAAATTAAAGACAAAGAGAGAATCCAAAAGTCAGCAAGAGATAAGCAACAGGTTACCTACAAAGGAACCCCCATAAGGCTCTCAGCTGACTTCTCAACAGAAACACTACAGGCCAGAAGGGAGTGGCATGAAGTAATCAAGGTCATGAAAAACAAGGATCTGAATCCAAGACTACTCTACCCAGCAAGGCTATCACTCAAAATAGAAGGTCAAATAAAGAGCTTCCCAGACAAAAATAAAAGGCTAAGGGAATACATTAACACCAAATCAGCACTGTAAGACACGCCAAAAGATTGCTGTAATTAGTAGAAGAAATAGGAAGAAAAACAGCACCACAATAAACAAAAATGGCAATAAATAAGTACATATCAATCATCACCTTAAATGTAAATGTCCTGAATGCTCCAATAAAAAGACACAGAGTAGCTGACTGAATAAGAAAGCATGACTCATATATATGTTGTTTACAAGAGACACACCTCACAACAAAAGACTCATATAGGTTGAAAGTGAAGGGATGGAAAAAAATCTTCCAGGCAAATGGAAAGGAAAAAAAAAGCTGGGATAGCAATACTCATATCTGATAAAGTAGATTTCAAAATGAAGACCATAACTAGAAACAAAGAAGGCCACTACGTAATATTGAAAGGATCTATCCAACAGGAAGATATAACCTTGGTAAACATATATGCACCCAATATAGGAGCACCAACACATATTAAAAATCTTCTGGAGGACTTCAAAGGAGAAATTGACAGCAGAACAATCATAGCAGGGGACTTCAACACCTCACTGACATCACTGGACAAATCCTCTAGACAAAAAATTAGCAAGGTAACACAGACCCTAAATGAAGCGCTAGATCAAATGGATTTAATAGATATCTACAGAAAATTACATCCCAAAATTGCAGAATTCACATTCTTCTCAAGTGCACATGGGACATTCTTAAAGATAGACCACATGTTAGGACACAAACTAAGTCTCTACAAGTTCAAGGAGATTGAAATCATATCAAGCATCTTCTCCGATCACAATGGCATGATACTAGAAATCAACTGCAACAAGAACAAGTAAAGACATTTGAACACATGGAGGCTAAATAGCATGTTATTAAACAACGAATGGGTCACTAAGGAAATCAAGAATTAAATTAAAAACTTCCTGGAAACCAATGAAAATGAACACACAGCACAAAACCTATGGGATACAGCAAAAGCAGTTCTGAGAGGAAAGTTCATAGCACTACAGGCCTACCTACCTCAAGAAGCAAGAACAATCTCTAATAGACTACCTAACCTCACAACTTAGAGAACTAGAAAGCAAACAGAAAGAAAACCCTAGAGCAAGTAGAAGGATGAAAATAGTAAAGATCAGACCAGAAATAAACGATATAGAGTCCAAAAAAATTTTCAAAGGATCAATGAAACAAAGAGCTGGTTTTTTGAGAAGATAAACAAGACTGATGGACCCTTAGCTAGACTCATCAAGAAACAAAGAGAGGGAACCCAGATACAGAAAATCAGAAATGAAAGAGGAGAAGTAACAACTGATGCCACAGAAATACAGAAGATTGCTAACAACTACTATGAACAATTATATGGCAACAAATTCAACAATCTAAGCAAAATGGACAAATTTCTAGAAACACATAGTCTCCCAAAACTGGACTGAGAAGAGAGAGAAAACTTGAACAGACCAATAACAGTAGAAAAAATTGAAGATGTCATCAAGACTCTCCCAGCAAACAAAAGCCCAGGCCTGGATGGCTTCACAGGGGAGTTTTAGCGAACATTAAAAAAATAACTAACACCCATTCTCCTCAAACTATTTCAAAAAATTCAATAAGAAGGAAGACTTCCAAACTCATTTAATGAGGCCAGCATAATTCTAATTCCAAAACCAGAAAAAGACATTACAAAGAAAGAAAACTACAGGCAAATATCCCTGATGAAAAATTCAATGGTAAAAAACCAGAAACACTACAAAAAAAATTATTTTGTCTAGAAAGAAAATGAAACCAAGAAATAAGTGAATTCATGACAAGAATAATAAAGAAAGGCCAAGTAGCAGCAATTCCAATGGCTGCATCATAGTTTAGGACACACTCACAGGCTTCACTCCATGATTGTGAAGAGATGACCCTCTTTTTTTTTTATCCTCACCTGAGGACATATTTTCCTTTTTTTTTTTTCAGATAGAGTGGGAGGGAGAGAGAGGAAGAGAGAGAGAGAGAGAGAGAGAGAGAGAGAGAGAGAGAGAGAGAGAGAAACATTGATGTGAAAGGGACACATTGAGTGGTTGCCACCCGCATGACCCAACCAGGGCCGGGGACAAACTGCAACCAAGATACATGCCCTTAGTGGGAACCGAACCAGGATCTCTCGGGACCGCAGGCCAACGCTCTAACCACTTAGCAAACTGGTCAGGGCGATATGACCATCTTTTATAGAAGATGCTGATGAGATCACATTTGGAAAAATGTAGACAGATCCAGGCACTTCATTAAAGACAAAATGAAAAAAAAAATGTATTAAAAAATTGGAAAACATTCAGTCACTGGCATGCCTTCAGAAGCACATGGCCAGACAGAAGGCTCAGGAAGCTAATGGTTGGAAAATGATTTAAATTAAAAACTCTAGGTATGGAACAAGGGGGAATAAATAAAGACTACAGAGGACATGCAAAAGTGTTGATGCAAGAACACTGAAAATACTGTAGAAAGAAATCGTATGTGCTGTTCATCTATCTGGAGATTTGAAAATATAAAATAGAATAAAATTTGGAAAGTACATATTTAAGCCAAATTATCCTAACAGAGTTTAGAATAAAAATATTCTTTTTAAAGTATCTTTTAGGGATTCCAGAAAATGTTTCTAAGAATTGTATTTACATGTATTTAATACTTGACAGTTTTCAAGGTACATTTGAACACTCCATTCCAATCTCATCAAACAGTCAGGAAAACTTTATTATCCCCATTTTTTAGATGAAGGGAAAAAGGTTCAGAGAAGTTACACTTAGAGAATTTCTGGCTATATGTTAGATTTACCTGGAGTGTTTTTTATTTTGTTTTGTTTTTTTCATGTAGCAATTCCTTGACCAATTGCATAAGATTTTCTGGTAGTGGGGTTCAGACATCAGTAATTTTAAAATGTTCTAAGGCACTACCAAAGTTGAGGATCACTGATCAAGTACAGAGGTCAGCAAACATTCTCTGTAAAGGGCCAGATAGTAAATATTTGAGGCTTTTCTGGCCAGATGGTCTCTGTCACAACTATTCAACTCTGCTGTTGCATAATAAAAGCAGCCATACACAACATGTTAACAAATGGGCATGGCTGTGTTCCAATAACAAAACTGTATTTATGAAAATA